TCCTGTTTCATATGTGCAGCACCCAATTTGCAGCAACTGTTTTTCCTATGGCATTGAGCACCCAAAGAGCCTCTGCATCTTTTCTTTTGAATGAATCAGCTTCTTTATGGAAGTATGATGTGTTTTTGAGTTTCAGGGGTGTAGACACCCGCAGGGGCTTTGTATCCCATTTACACCATGAATTGTCCAAGTGCCAAGGAATTACGACTTTCATGGACGATCGAGAGCTTGAAGGAGGAACAAGTATTCATCTTGAGCTCCCAAGTGCGATCAAAGAATCGCATATTGCAATTGTTGTTCTCTCACCGAACTATGCTTCTTCCAAATGGTGCTTGGACGAACTTACAGCCATTCTTCGATGCATGGAATCCAGGAACTCAGTTCTGCCGGTCTTTTATCAGACAGATCCATCTGACGTCGGAAATCAACGGGGATGTTTTGCCGAAGCCTTTACGAAGCATGAACAAAATTCGAGCAGTACCGAAGATAAAGAGAAGGTGGTCCAATGGAAAGCTGATCTAAAAAAAGTGTCCAAAATTTGTGGTTGGCACTCGAAGGAATCTAAGTAAGTATGCATGAACAACTTTAATTTCCCATGTCTTAGTAGAGTCAAAATTGGATGCTTCATTTATGTTTTTTTTTATTGGTTATTTCATACCATGTAGGAGTGAAAGTGAGATTATACAACAACTCGTCAAAAGTGTGTGGAGGAAAGTACAAGCTACATTCCCATTGTTAGATTCCCCACAGGAGTTGGTTGGGGTTAATTTTGGGCTTGAGCAACTAAGTTCGTTGTTAGCTCATGATGTCAATGATGTTCGCTTTATAGGGATAACGGGGATGGGTGGCATTGGTAAGACAACCCTTGCTAAGCTTGTTTATGATAGAATCTTCCATCATTTTGAAGTTCACTGCTTTCTCGGCAACGTTAGAGAGGTTTCTAACGTTGATCTTCAAAAAAGACTTCTTTTCCCGGTGTTGAGGGAAAAGATCGAAGAAATTTGGGATGAAGAGCACGGAATCATTTTCATTAAGAAGTGCTTACACAACAAAAAGGTTCTTCTTGTACTTGATGATGTGGATCACATAAACCAACTACAAGTACTAGCTGGAAAGGAAGATTGGTTTGGCATGGGAAGCAGAATTATCATTACAACTAGAAATGAACGTCTGCTAGTCGAGCATGGCATAACATTATGTCATAATGTTGAGGTGTTAAATGATGATGAGGCTCTTGCACTGTTTAGCCTGCATGCCTTTAAGAAAAATATGCCCGAGGATGGGTTTTTGGAACTGTCTGAGTGTTTCATTAAATATGCTGGAGGCCTTCCATTAGCTCTTAAAACTTTTGGGTCGGCATTGTTTAAGAGAGGGCTAGATTTTTGGAATAGTACACGGGATAATCTATCAAAAATTCCTAATACAGAAATTATTCATAAACTTAAAATAAGTTATGATGAACTAGAAGAGATGGAGAAGAGCATTTTTCTTGAGGTTGCATGTCTCCACAAAGGGAAGTACAGAAAGAAAGTAATTGAAACACTAGATATTTCTTTTGGAATTTCTAGTAGTACTATGATAGATGTACTAATTGAGAGATCTCTCCTCTATCAAGATCGCAGCGAATGTATATGGATGCATGACTTGATACAAGATATGGCACGTGAAATTGTTCGTCGAGAGTCTAAAGAGCCTGGTCAGCGCACTAGGTTGTGGCTTTACGATGACATCGATCAGATATTTAGGAAGAATAAGGTAAGAAGTTAAATACCAAGTTTGGAAGAAGATATTGATTTCTTTTGAAATTATATTAGACTTGAATGTGAAATTAATTTGTCCTTTTTTTCTTAATTGTTAGGGAACGGCAGCAATTGAAGCCATATCCTTACGCTTGTCCAACATAGAAGAGGTGCCCCAGTGGAATTGTGAAGCCTTCTCTAAGATGGAGAGACTGAGGTTTTTGGAATTCAATAATTTGATCTTTTCTTCAGGCCCCAAATCTCTTCCATGTTCCTTGAGAATTATAAATTGGAGTTGGTATCCTTCTAATTTTCTTCCAACAAGCTTTCGCCCGCACTTGCTTGGTAAACTTGAGATGCGTAAGAGCAATCTTGTTCGTTTTTTGGGGGGAAAAGTGGTAAGAGTAGTTATGAACAAAAGATAATATTGGTTACTCACTAGTCAATACTCACATTTTGAGTTTGTCCAATGATATTTTAACACATTATTTTAAAAAATAATAGACATGTTATTTAATTTTTCTTGAGTTTTAAAAACAAGGAACCCTTGACATTTTTTTATTGTACAATCCCAAAGTTCCAAATTTATTCCATATTCATTGAGAATAAATGCTATTTAATTTACAAAATAATCATATATTTATTTATTTATTATTTTGAATAAACTTTAAGGTTGTGGAAGCTAAGTATATGATATGAACCTTATCGGTGGTGTTGTACAGGACTTGCCCAACTTGAAACATATCGATCTTAGCAACTCCAATAAATTGAAGAGTACCCTAGATTTCAGTGGTCTTCCGAATCTTGAGGAGTTGTATCTTTCCGCTTGTAAGAATTTAGTTGAGATACATCCGTCTATTGCAGTCCTCAAAAGACTTAAAGTTTTGCAACTTGATGGCTGTAAAAGCATTAAGAGCCTCCCAAGTAAGGTTGAAATGGATTCTCTTGGAATTTTCGATCTTGATGGCTGCTCAAATGTGAAAACGATTCCAGAATTTGGGGAGCAGATGAAGAATTTATACTTCCTCAAGTTAAGCAAGACTGCGATCGAGAAAATACCTTCATCAATTGGACATGCGGTTGGCCTTAGGTATTTGCTTCTATGGAATTGCAAAAATCTCTTGTACCTTCCAAGGGCTATTTGTAATTTGAAGTCTCTTGCAGAGCTCGATGTGACTGGATGCTCCAAGATTGACAAACTCCCAGGAGACATGGATCACTTATGGCGGCTTAGAGTGGGACCCACTATGACAAAGCCGTTTGTGGGTATGAAAAAACTCACAGGTCTAACATTTACGAGAAATTATGACATGGTTTGGATGAATAATGTTAAAGCCACTTGTGGATCAGATGGTAAAGCAAGGGATGGGTGGGGCCTTCGCCGCTTATTTGGACTTGAAAAGAGTCGGCCTGATCCTCCTCCTTGTTGGCGTTTGGTGTTGTCTTCTCTAAATCGTTTATGCTCTTTGGAGTACTTAGATCTATACGATTGTAATCTCCAGGAGGGGGATATCCCTGATGATATTGGCTGCTTGTCCTTATTGATAACATTGTCTCTCAGCAGAAATAATTTCGTCAGTCTACCTGAAAGCATTAGACACCTTTCTAAGCTTAGGGATCTTCATCTGGAGGGGTGTAAAAGCCTTCAAAAATTGCCACCTCTTCCATCAAACAGAGGATTAAGGGTAGACCTGGACAATTGCACTTCCTTACGAAGTTTGTCAGGTGCATTCAATTTGTATGATGCTAGTGTCACTTGCCGGAATTGCATTGCATTGGTTGCAGATGAAGACTTGATTAATAGCTTTCTGAAATCTGTCATTCAGGTACTCTCTCTCTCTCTCTCTCTCTCTCTCTCTAAATAATTGATCTTTCTTCTGCTACAGGGATCGAAAATTGTAATCCCTGGAAGTGAAATTCCAAAGTGGTTCAATAATCAGAGTGTGGAACATTCAATAAATGTGGTGCTTCCTCCACCATCATGTACCAACTGGCTTGGGATTGCCTTGTGTGTTGTTTTTCAATACCCTTTACAAAATGTGGAGCTTCCTCATGGTCCTTTCAGATTTCACTGTTCAGTGAAACTTAGCCCTGAAATACTTGGCCCAGAATACCCTTTTGCTGCCTTATTATTACCGTCTACCTCATTATTACCGTCTCTTGTGTCAGAAAACCTTTGGTTATTTTATTTTCCTAGTCAATATTGTTTGCCTCGTGAAGATTGTCATCAAGTACAGGTTTTATTCAGAATTGTCTTTTTTGATGGTGGTTGGAGAGAACTAAAAGCAAACTTGAATATGGTGAAGAAGTGTGGGGCTTGTTTGGTGTACGAGCAAGATTTGAAAGAACTCAACCAAAAACTACTGAAACGAACATGCGAATATCGTGACGAGGCAGCTCTAAGTGGACCCGGAAGTGCTAGCTTCAACGACACAGAACAAATTTGCAAAAGGCGTTGTAACTAGTCACCATGTCACAAAAAATGCAAGTAAGTAACCATCGATTCATCACTTCAGCATGATTGTCATCAAAATTATTTTTTGTTTAGACATCTTAGTCAATGTAATCGATCTCTCGAGCTATATATTAAGATGGCTTTATTTACTGAAAGGGCAGAGTGGATAAGAATGTTGATGTATAAACACTTTTGCAGATTACTTGGGCATTAAGAAGATTGATTAACAATCTGATCATCTTGCCTAATGCAGCAAGTGAGTACCTTGGAAACTCGCAACGCCATGGGGGCCGCTCTGTCAGTCCAAATCTTAAGGTTCATTTTCTGAAGACGCCATTAGCATTAACATGTACACCAGGGATTGAATTCAAACTTCTTTACTCTGGCAGAAATTGATTTGTTTCTGTCTGATTTTGTAACCAATGCAAACTTGTAGTCCAGAAACAGAAACGTTGCTAAGGAAACAACACTTTTTGCTCAACAACTTTGCTTTGATTAAAACTTGGCTTTGGTGATGCAAAAACTAAGCATTGAGAGTATTTTTCCTGAAACTTAGAACGGTAGGTTTTCAGCTGAATTTGCGTACCCTTTCAAAACCCTATTTACACGGTAGTTTATGAAATTTAACTTCTGTTGAGATAAGGATGAATCACACAGATAACAAACCTGAGAGTATGACTGGAAACTAGAAGTCTGACTTGGTCTAACATCCCCCGGCAAGCTGACAGATAGTAGCTCACCTCTAATCACCTTCTCCCTGACATAATGATAATCAACTTCTAAGTGCTTGGTTCTTGAGTGGAAAACTGGATTGGATGCTAAGGCAATGGATTATCACACCAAATCTGTTATCTTAGGAGATTCTAATGTACGTCCCTAAACAACGAACATAACCAAGGCAACTCAGCGGCAGTGTATGCAAGCTGCCGATATTCAGCTTCAGTGCTAGACCTGGAAACTGTTTTTTGTTTCTTCGAACTCCACGAGATTAAGTTTTTACCCAAGCATATACAGAAGCCTCAGTTTATCATCCACATAGATTAGTAAGATGAGATAAAATAAGGGCAATGAGGGAAAACGTTCAACACAGGAAAAGACCAAAATCTAAGAATGAAGTAACCTAAAATTGCCATAAATTACAAAGAAAAGTAGGGTATAACACTAAAGAGCTACATTAGATATGTTATATAAATTTTGGATGGATCAGGCATTCTCTGTATCCTTAAATACTTTTATATTGCCATTCACAATATGCAAAAATTAAGGCAAGGCAAACTATGGATTGACAATTCGTGGTTTTATATTGCCATTCACAATATGAACAGCTAGTACCATGCAAAGTTCCGTCCCCACCCCCCCTGAGGTCCATTGGACCTATAGCTACACCAAGGGCGCAACCGTATCCCCATATACATGATAAACTTGGCTAAAGAATGTCGTTTTATATTTAAAGGTTGCACACACTCGCCCTAACTGATGCCTGACCTCGTTAGCAGTAGGCCATTTGTTATCACTAATCTCCAAAGTCAATTCAAAACAGCCACCATTTTTGTAGTTCCAATCTTGCATGCCTCCATATATAGGGTACCTACAACAGGTGTCTTAAGAAACAATAGATGAATATCAAACAGAAGGAAAATATACCTATAATAAGTTGTAATGTTTCAAGCCATCATACCAGAAAGCTCGATTCGTAATCCCTCCCTCAAATTCCTTGCGCAATGACATATTGTGGTGAGAGTGACTATATACACTTGGTAAGAACCGGAATGTCTCGTCGTCTGGACATGCAAATAATCTTTCCTGTAATTTAATTTCGATCAAAAGACAAGAGCATATGTGCAAAATAAAAATGAATAAGCGTTGGCATAAATTCTGGGATAATTGTTAGGCACCATCCGAAAATCCATAATCATATTAGAAGTAATTGGCAATGTTCATAACATTAGAGTAACACTTTAAGACCTACTATTGACATCACCATGCTTGTTTCACACTATAACAGAAACATTTAGAAACCTGAACACATTGGGCATCATAGGTAAAATTGAATAATGATCAAAACGTACACTCACACTGAAGCCAACGTACAGCCGGAAGAAGTCTAATGGAAATGAATGAAATTATTCTGGACAAATGTTCAACAAACAAATCGTTTGCTTTTTCCATGAATGAAAGTAAGACCCTAGTATCAAGCTATCAATCAGCATGGTTCAGTGCAGAACTTTTATGGATAATTTGCAAAAAGGGCAACCTGTGAACAACAAAAGAATTGGTAATAACTAATTTCTCCGCATCCGAATCAAGGAATCCATTAGCATTAAAACCTATGAACACTATGTATCTTTTGAGTTAAACAATTTGGATGAGCGAAAAAAATGAATGTGGATGAATCAATTTACAAAAACCTTTCTTCCTAAAAGTCTCCAGAGTACAAGCTGACAAGCACTAATGCAATCGCTCTTTGCTTGGTAAGTACTAAATACTACAATATTTTAATTTACTTCCGGTTCTTGTAATCTCAGTTTTTCAACTTCCAAAAACAACCAAGAAACTAAATGAACGCATAATATAAAATGCATACTAATATACATATATATATATATATATAGCACAGATGAGAAGATGGGGACCTGGAGGGTAGGAAGTATGAAGGCCGCCTCTAGCAGTAGCAGGACGAAGAAAAGAGGAGAAGTTGAGAGAAAGGAAGAGGATGGAAAGAGCAAGCTCCATTCTGGGATCTTTGAGGTTGACTATGGAGACGATGGAGCTGGATTCAGGAAGCCATTGTTGGAACTCGGAAGGAGTTAAGGAAGATGAAAACGTAAAGACGAAGATCGGAGATGCTGGATCGCCGGAAAATGGGCTGCAATTTCCAATCGGAACAAAGAAACGGGGACTTCGTGGTATGGGTTGCAAATGGATCTCAGCCCATTTGTTAAACAACTTTTGTTTGGGCCTAAATAAGCCTACAAACCTAACCGGATGAACCGTTCGAACCGATACAACAATATTTTACATTATAGGGTTTGAATTAAATTGAGTAGAAATGTCACTAACTATATTAGTAGTGAAAATTGATTTTGGAAGTAGTTGTCTATTTCAGAGTGGATTTACCAGATGCCAAATGTAATTTATATAAATTTTCTCCTGTATTTACTAATCTGCAAGAAATTGAAAAAATAATTTTTCGTTTAAAATACCCAAAAATTAGGAAGCATATCAAGTAGGGGGCCATTTGATCTGGTTCTCTTTTCTTACTTTTCATATTTCTAAGTTATTTCATTCCTTGTCATTCGGTACTACGGTCTGGTGGTATTCCTCTTCACTTGGAAGTGAGAGGTCTTAGGTTCGAATCTCGTGGATGGCGAATCAAATTCCATACCAAATTAGGTTACCCATTGTGTTTAGTTGAACTTCCCCTCTCCTTAGTGTAAAAATATATCGATGTCCTCAAAAAGTTATTTCATTCCTTTATTTTCTCATTTAAGATAAGTAAACATTGAATTAAGAGTTATATGGATCCAATATTGCAAATCATGTTTATGAACGAGTCTTGGTAGGAGTCACAACTTAATCATGAGTGAAATTGTCACATGTGTAGTTCCAATGTTTTCATGCATAAGCTCACCGAAGGGTCTATTTCGTTTTCTCGGTTGGTCCAACTAGGTATGAAAGTACTCTGAAGGTAAAGTAAGGCTCAAGGAATACATCGTGTTGACAACATTATAACAATAATCAGGAAATACAATGGAGGTGTTTAGGTGAGAGCCTTGTGGCGCAGTGAACATCAATTTTGGTCATGAGGACTAGAGGCAATGTTGACCAACTTCTTATGTCGAGTTTCAGGGGATAAAAATCAAGTTTGCAAGGGGCAAAATAGAGCAAACTATGAATCTAAGGGAGTGAGGTGGCGATTTTTGAGTTACAGGGAATAAAATGAGATTAAAATCGAAGGTGTAGATAAAAATAAGCTCATTTGTTTACTTTCTTGGTTTAATCATGTAATTTAAAGATTATTTGGTTATTATCCAAATTTCCAAATAAATGTTGGAAGGCAAACAAACTAGTCGAGAGGTAATATTGCAGAAGTGCTGATTCACTTGGAAGAATGGAACAGGAACATATAGGATAAATAGACAGGAATGGCATGAATTAGATTTTTTGAGGAACATATCGAGAGAGAATTGGTTAAACAATGTGTGGTTGTTAAACAAGGATCATCATTATGCATTGTGTTTGTGAATTGTGCTGAGAACAAGTCAATCCTATCAAGTTTCTGTACACAGAAGGGTACATGAATCATGCTCTTGATGATTCAATATGTCATCAAATGGTTTGGATTACAATTGTTTATGAAGAAATTGGGATTTCACCATAAAATCAATTGGCTATATAGAGAGTAGCCTAACTACTTATTAGTTCATGCAAGGTTCTTCCTCCCATCAATGTATGACTCATTCTCAACACGTCCCTTTACGTGTGACGAATTTTCAAATCTAACACGTGGATAACACAACGGGGTGACATTGAGCGCATGTGACCGTTTGACCGTTTGACTTCACACGTGGGACAACCTGCTCTAATACTATGAAGAAATTAAGGTTCCACCATAAAACCAATTGACTATATATGGAGTAGTTCAACTACTTACAGAACAATAATTAGACATATCCAATTTGCAAGTAGAATTAGGAGCTCAGAGCCTACAGGTTCATCTCCATGCACATTTCCAATGCACTGCTGCACCCAGCATATTTTTTTTAAAAATGTTCAAACTATCACTTGAAATTGCATAAATAAGTAACAATCGATTTACATTCAGGGGAATGGAAAAGAAACAAAAGAAAGCTTTCATGTAGCACACCGAATACTAAAATACTACACTGTCACCTATACAAACACTCAATAAACTGAAATCCGGGTAGTACGTAAAACTTTTTCCACAAAAAGTGAAATTCATGACTTCATTTTTCAACAGTAAACACGAAATACTACACTTCGAGCTTTTGGCATGTACTAATAAGTTATAATCTTTTTCATACTACAGCTTCTCAGTTTCATTATAAGTTTCTTGTGGTCATAAGTGGCTCATAGTAGTTTCCTTCATTTGTTTCCATACAAGATCAGAGAAAAAGTAACAAAAAATTGTGACTAAAACTGCCATCAAAACACATACAATTGATAGAGTCTGTCCTTTCTCAAGGACAAGTAACATAATTGAACTAGCGGAATGAATAAAACTTTTATAAAGACTGCAGATGGAATATCTCCAATACCAGAATCAACTCAAATTGGTGGTAAATAGGTACTGCACCCTTCTGGATTCAAAGGTGTCGCACTTTTTTAACTTCCACTGATGGGCAATCAATGTAAACTTCCTATATTTAAGTTTCTGACCCTTATTCAGCGTTATTGTTGCAAAAAGATTTCAGATACTGGTGTCTGCATCCTTATTACACAGCTCTATGGTTAAATTCAGTTTCAACCAGCTGCAAGGACTAATTTGTGCTAATCTCGACAGAGTCAAAGCAGATTCCTGTTCTTTTGAATAATAACTTTTTCGGGGTTATGGAACAAATATAATTTCTACGTTATTATATACAGAGAGGAAGGGGGGACACTACTGCGTTTTCCTTCAAAAATCCTGCCATGTTCCAAAAAATTGATTGTATATAGGACGGATTAAAATTTCAGGATTCAAAAGTTTTTACCAAATAGCAGCTTGGATACAATTTGGATAAATTAATATTCATGAGATTAAATCAGCATAATCATCATGAGATGCACAAACAAAAATTCTACAGTAAAAATCCTGCACTTATCCAGCTCAAACTATCAAACTACTACTAACAAATACCATTGTTTTATTTCATATACTAACGAGTGGTAAACTTATAATCTGGTAAATGTTAAAAATGCACAAGCCCACGTAATCACCTGTAAACCCTAGAAATGTTACTGCATCTTTGGCTGAACGCCTTAATAGCCCGTTCCAGGTCAAAGTTAGTCATGTACCCTTGACCTTGAGCCACATCAAGACTGTCACAATTTTTCACAATTTCAGTAAACACATAATTATATCAAGTTAGATTACATAATTCATGTTAAGCTACTAAACTTCAACGTTAGTGATAAATGCCGCGTCTGAGACTCATTAACTTCAAACAATTGCCTGCTGGAACCAGCGCGAGGACCAAATTCGAAACCTATCAACATTTAATTTACAATTAGCTAAATTCTTGATGCTTAAAGATTTAGTTTCCTTTTCTAGTAGCGCTAACCCACCTTAACTGTAAAGATTTTAAGAAAGCAACAGGCGTGATAATCTATCTGATCACAATTAACTACCGTTTGGCACCTGAGAAATCAAAGGAAAATTTTTCAAATTACTACTTGTTCTTGTAATCTCAGTTTTCCAATTCCCAAAGAACTAAATTCACACACATACATATAAAATGCATACAAATATGTACATCTATATATATATGACAGATAAGGAGATGGGGACCTGGATGGTAGGAACTGTGAAGGCCGCCTCTAGCAGTGGCAGGACTAAGAAAAGAGGAGAAGCTGAGAGAGAGGAAGAGGATGGAAGGAGCAAGCTTCATGATGTGATCTTTGGGGTTGACGGTTGTGGCGATGGAGCTCCAGCATCGGATTCAGGAAGCCATTGTTAGAACTTGGAAGGTGATAAAAGAAGATGAAAACGTAACGACGAAGATCGGAGATGCCGGATCGCGGGAAAATGGGCTGCAAATTCCAATGGAAGAAAGGTAACGGGGACTTGGAGATATGGGTTGCAAATGGATCTCGGCCCATTTACAACAATGTTTTACATTAAAGGATTTGAATTAAATTGAAGAGAATTGTCACTAAACTATATTAGTAGTGACAAAAATGATTTTGGAAGTGGTTGTCTATTTCTGAGGTAATTTAGCAGCTGCCGAATGTAATTATCTAAATCTTCTCTCGTATTTACTAACTCGTAAGAAATGGGAAGAATGGTAGTTTTCTTTTAAATTCGTTATCAAAGACCTGAAGGTAAGGAAGCATCAACTAGGGGGGCTAGTTGATCCGATTCTCTTTCCTCACTTTTTTATATTTTTAAGTTCTTTTATTCCTTCCTTTTCTCATTTCTGATAAGTAAATATTGAATTGAGAGTTATATAGATCCAATGTTGCATATCGTGTTTATGAACGAACCTTGATAAGAGTCGCAGCCTAACTCTAAGTGAAATTGTCACGTAAGTAGGGCCAATGTTTTAATGTTTAGGCTCAAAGGGTCGATTCCGTTTTCCTAGCTCTAAGTTGGTCAAATTAGGTCCGAAAGTACTCTAAAGGTAGAGTAAGGCTCAAGGAATACTGCATTTGCACTACATCGTAACGATAATAAGGAAATACAATGGAGGGGTTTAGTAGAGAGCAGTAAACATCAATTTAGATCTTTGAGGACTAGAGGCAATGTAGACCAACAATGTCTTATGACAACTGTTGAATTGAATATAGAAAGTCAAAAGTGACAAAATATTTCCTCATGTCGCTACTAGCTACGAATCAGATATAACCAATTGAAGAAAGAAAATAAAGTCGATGAACGATTAAGCGAAACTTTGTCTTAGAGACCAATGAAATGCGACCTAGAAGCTTTATCACACAAAAGTTCTTTGAAGACCTCTTCTTTTGCTTACCTGCTTACTTCTGCTGTAGATCTTGAGGACTAGAGCCATGTTGACCAGCCTCTTGTATTAAATGTTGAATAGAATCTAGAGTTAGAAGTGACAAAATATTTTTTTCATATTGCTACCAACTATAGGTCAGATATGACCGGTTGAAGAAAGAAGATAAAATAGATGAACGATTAAGTGAAACTTTACCTTAGAAACCAATCAAATGCCACTAAGAAGTTTTATTACACAAAAGTTCTTTGAAGACCTCTTGCTTATGCTTCCATGCTTACTTTTGTTGTAGGTCTTGAGGACTAGGAGCAATGTTGATCAACCTCTTGCGACAATTGTCGATAATTGTTGGATTGAAAGTTAGAAGTGACAAATTATATTCAGTCTGAAATATTGTAGAGGACCCTCCTCCCAACCCTCACCCAACTGAATGTAGCCATCAAATTTGAGTTATTCCAACTATTGCTCTTGCTTGCAAATAATGAAGTTAATTCGTATGCAACAGCATCATGCACGGTGTTATCTTTAGCCGTCCACTCTTTTTAAAACTACTGAGGTTTGGCTTTAGTTAGAGGTCATCAACATCAAGATGGCCGACCGAGAAATGTCAAAAA